AGAACGTGAAATAAAACTTGTCTCCTCATATCATTTAGATAAGAATAGAAGCTCTCTCAGTCAGCTGCAAGTTACAACTTTCTGATGATACACCACTCTTGAGGAAAACAGGGAAGAAAATAAAAAAAACCAAATCAGTAGCATGGAAAGCCAATACAGGTGAAGGGCCAGGAGGGAGGAAATGCTTCTTAGCATTGGTTGACAATTCTAGGTTTTTAATCTGAAATCTGATGTTTATGAGATTTTCATCATATTGCCAAATACTAAACACCAGAGGCTTAATCCTTTGGAGTTCTCCTTCAAACAGGTAAAAGTAGTTTTGCATAGATAACAGCTAATGGCACAAGATTTGTTGTACTTTAACACTGTCCAAACCAATGACTCATACAAGGGAGCTTTCAATTTTAATCAACATAAGCCCCCACTTCAAACATGCAGTCAGCATAAAACCTTACATGACCTCTCATACTTTACAATCAAGTCTACAGATATTTGCATAGTCTAAAGAACTGTAAAACTGCTTTACTTTTTATATCACTTAACTTCACCGGTCACGTTCTAATACAATGCAAATCTGTTCTCCACTCAAGACACAGGGACTCAGCTTCACAGAGCATAAGGGTGTGTTACAGGCAACAGAGAGAAACTTCAACATCAACAATCCTTTACTGCCATTATTTTACAAGTTTTGGTGTGGATGCCTCTTGTCACCTGTCCAGCTTAGTCAGCTCTCCGGGGGATTACTTTCAAATACGAGTAGCAGAGATCAGGAGTTAGAAATAGAAGAAAAGTTGTGCTTGTCTGGGAACCTGCAAGAGGAACATTTAATTTAGCACCAGGGTGCATAAAAAGGAATAAACCTGGTGCCCTTTTTGGAAAAAAAAAAGGATAGTGAAGTTCTGAGGCATAGTTTTCACTATATTAATTTTTGGTAAAAAAGATATAGTATCCTCTTGAGAAAATATCTATGAAGTTCTTACACAATCACAAATTTGTTCAGCGCTTTTTTCTCTCCCCCTCCCCCCAAATTGTTCTTTTCTTGAATCCCTATTGATCAGGGACAGCTACTTGCACGGGAATGCAACCTCAGGAATGTGAATTAAGTAGCAATCTGAATTCATAGCTTCGTTTTTGCCCCAGTATAAATCTTTTTGATGAGCCCATCTCACATTAAAGTAATTGTATTACATAGACTTTAGTGACAAAGTTTTGGAACACTTCACAGGTTAAAAAAAACCCACTTGAACAACACTGACCCAATTCAATATGTGAGAAATAAGCATGTGAGAAGTCTCACAAGATTTGAAGTTTCTTAAAAAGACATGCAGAAGACAGCAATAAACTGCATCTGTGAGTGATGGCAAAGCAGCTCTATCTGCCCCAGCCTGCTGGGAGATGTGTAAATCCACCATTTTTTGGAATCTGTTCATTTCACCAATGTATTAATTTCAGCAAATCACCCAAACAAAACCCAAATTATGTTCTAAGTTTGTACTACACCAACGCACACTAAAGGTGAGTTTAGTGCCAGCTTAACATCATCGTATTATTTAACAGACAGCTGTTCTATCTCTAAATTCTCCAAGCTCTGGTCATGGATATATTTCAAACTTAAGAGCAATGGATGCAGAAGAAATCTACTCTGCAGGGTAAACTTAGGTCTACACTTCTCGAATCGAGCACTTTCTGGGTTGTGAATTAACCAAGCTCTGTCTTCCACCACTAACTCTAACTGCGGCACAACTCATGGGAGATGTGCGCCTTCCTCTGGTGTCCAAAGCTGTTTAACATCATCGCCTTTGTCTGACAAATGTAAGCCAGGATCAGCAGGGTAAGTGTCCTTTTAAAGCCTAGTTCGCACAAATTTCAGTCTTATCCATGGTTTATGTCAGAGTTCCTCTGTGTCCTTGGATAACTGATGGCTGCCTGTATTCCTACCAATCACTGAAGTATAAACTTGCTGCAGCAAAGCTGAAAACAACTCCTATTCACAACCCTAGAGATAGAATGATAAGATTTGGGTTATTCTGGTATCTATCTCTGTGTTTAAATACTGAAGAACAGTCTAATAGATGTTTTCAATCACATTATTTCAGTTTAACATATCATTTATTTTTACTTCTGGAGTCTGTAATACTCTTTGCCATTTTCCTTGTACTTTCTGCTTCACTTTCACCTAAAATTTGAACATGAGGCTTCAGCATTCTTCCTTATGTTTAAGACTGCTTTCGGCTCCAGAACTGCACATGAGAAGAAGAGTGCCTCAGAAGTGGTACTTCAGTAGCAGTTATTTCTCTCAGCTGTCAGTGCAGCAACAAATGCTTCTTAAATACATTTGCACATAACAGCCCTTCCAGCTCTTCCAATCTGCCCCAGAAAGAATTTCAGGGCACTTTATGATTATAAATACATGAGAAATTTTTAAGATGATATTCAAACAGGAGGAGAAAACTCTTAACTTGCTGGGTCATCACTTGCACATGTATCACTATGACCATCAGGGTTGCTGAAAACTTATTTTAAAAGTGTGCTTCAGAAAAAAGTTTCACTATTTTGACTGATGAGTTAATTGTCTATAAGCTGGCATGTTACAAGGCATCAGAAAGTTCTTCTTTCTTACTATTTCTAGGACAATTAGCACGAAAATAGAATAGTGTAATCTTGTTTAGCACATACGAAGAGAAGCCTTTCCATTTTAGGCCATGAATACATAGCTGGATATGGAGCAGCCGTGGAAAGCAGAAGAAAAATTTTAGAGAGTCTTTAAAGAAAAATCTTTCCCCTCTTCTACAGAAGAAAATTAAAGCAAGGTAAAATCAATGGAGCATTGATGTAAGAACCTTATGCTGTTTCAGTGTCTTTACACGATGTGAAAGGCAATCAGATGACTGTTAAGCCTTCCTAGAACTCACTTCACATTACAACAACTTTTGCTTAACAGAAAGCATATTCAAACACACCAGACCAGAATACTGAAATGCTCAGTGATGAGTCTTAAAAACCATGAAAAATACTAACTTCTGTTTTTGTTAAACATTTCTTCCACACTTTGTATGTTAACAAAAGTTCATTTAACAAATGACTGCAGTATTTGGTGGAGGGGGGTGGCGGCACGGGACTGCCTCATCTCTCGTTTGTGCATAGTGACAGTACCATGCAGGCAGCAGAACAAGCTCGCGGTGCTGCTGTCAACAGCCACCTCCTGGTCCCCCGCCACAGTGCTGAAAACTTGTATTCCCAGCACAGCACCTTGTCTCTAACACTTCACCTCCCTTAAATCTGAAATACGAGAAGGAAGACTGGCTACCACAGCTGCTTTTGAGAGCAGATCAGGCTAGGTGGGCAGCAAGGGAATATAGGAAGAGCCAAATAACTCACCACCAAAAAACCCATATCCGTGACTGAAGCTGCTGTACTACAACACAAGTATTTTTAGCATATTAGAGTTCACAATCACTGCTGTAAAATTTGAGATGGGAAAACCTAGTACCAGATATTGTGTCGTATTTTATTTTTCCAATACAAAACCAAAAAGCCTGTATATTGACCTAAATAGTCATCCCTTCATTAAAAGCTGTATTCAGGTTTCAAGCTGAGTCTGACTCAGAATTTTTCATATTTCTATGTTGCATTTTTGCTTAATGACATTTACCTCGCTCCTGTTCTCTGGAGTAAGGAAATAACGTTTAAAAAAAGGAAAGGATTCCAGCTCTTCAAGAGAACCTGCCTATATCAAATTAGTAAAATTTCCTTGTAATAGACTTTAAAACATAAACAGGCTCTTACTCACCAGATTAATCCACTTCCATGATTTTAAAAGACAGCCTGAAGCTAGATGGCCAGTCTGTTATTCCATTTACAGACACTTAATTTCACCCAGTTTTTAGTCATTAGAAATTGAGAGGGCTTTATACTTCTGAAATTAGGACCTAAGAGCTGCTAGAAGTTGCATCTTCACGTAGTAACAAACAATCTAGACTTATTCTTGGTTTAGACTATTTGTTTTAAGCCACTACACTGAGAACAATGTAGACATGCATCCTGTTTATTCAGCAGGCAAGGATGTAACAGCCATCAGAACTGGAAGGCTCTTTTACACCACCATGACAATGAGCAAGCACTACAGTTCAACCTCAGTACTTGTTTACCCAGCCTTAGTAGCCAGGCTTGGAAGAAAAACAAACAAAAAAAAGTACCACAAAAAGTTATTTCACTACACAATACTCACAAACCTCAGTTTAACTAATATTCCAGGAAAGTTTTATACTAGCAACAGAATCTGCTGAAGCTCTGTTGCTAGAGACAAGCCTTACCCTACCTGAATTCTCCTTCATTGTGACACAAAGGAATAAAGACCAACAGACACATGCTTGTGAAGGCTGTGCTCAAGACAGCACGCTCTTCTAAGTGATCTACGGATATACACTCTTACATACACATTAGTATCTCTTCAGAAGCAAAATTCTCTGTGACATACTAGAGACTTTGGTTTGTTAGGGAACATACTAAGTAAACAAGTATTTTCATACAGCTTAGATAACTGACAGACCTTCTAAGGGACAGAGTGAGACCTCTTGATAAATTTCTGATCCACTCAATACTTTGGAGTACTTTAAAATAAGTAGTAATAAAGATATGACATAATCTGTACATATTGTGAGAAGTAACATAAGGAGTTAATTGACATTTTCCTACCACATATTCTTAGACAAACATAAAACTAATGTGCTGGATCAGACCCAGAGATCCATTAGTCCAGTTTCCTCTTAGACAGAGGACGATAATGAAAGCTTTTGCAAGAGTCCTAAACAGTCTGTTTAGGCCTATGAAGGACAACTGCCCTACCTTTATGTCACATGAAAGCCACTGACTAGGTATTTTTCACTCTGAGGTCAATTATGCTAGAGTTTTTCCAAAACAGTTACAGTTACAACTGAGGGTATTAATATATAAATGTAAATAAATTCACTATTTAAAATAAATTTTGTTTAAAAAGCAAGTATTTATTTATGTCAGCTGTAAGGACAAAGTTAGATTTTTCCATGGTAGGTCTGCAAGCTCTCATAGAGATAACAAGCCATGAAACAAGCATGTTTTAAACTGTCTGCATAGTAGACTCTTTGGAAGGAAGACCTAAACAGAAGCCAGTATTTTTTTTTTTAATCTGGGTTTTATTTTCTGTAGTTTTTTTAATTTGTTTGGGTTTTTTTTTTTTTACCTTTTAAATGCTTCAGCAGGGTTCCTTTCACATTCCCCAGGCTGCAAGAGACTTTGAATAGCAGGATCTCTTAGTTTGTCCTCATATCCCTGGATCAGTCCACTGCGGCAGATTTGTGTAACTAAACCTCTAATAAACCCTCCAACACACAGTGTGTCGGAGTCTTGGGCCCTGCAGAAGTGGAAAGCTAGAGCTTGACGATGTAAGCCTCTTTGCAGGTTTGCAGGTGAGCTTGGCCACAGTAACTCAGTACAGAGCGCCGTCTTCCCACTACCGGGCCCTCCTACCAACAATACACCCCAGGCAGCTCCTTTCCCAGAGACACCAACAGTGTTACTCCCAGAATTCGCTACAAGAGATGGTTTGTTGGCAGCACTACTGCTGCAGTTAGCTTTCTCCTGGAGGCAGTGCTGAAGCTTGTGGAAAACCCACTCCCTACAGTAAAACTGCTTTCCCTGTAGCAAGCTGGTTTGAGCCATTTTGTAAAGCTGCTTCTTCTGGATCTGTCATAAGCAGCGGCACAACTTCAACATCTCAGGGCAGGGAGATACAGGCTCATCTTGCACAGAAAAGTCTTCTGCACAGAACTTGGCAGAGGTCAAGGTAATCAGTTAGCTTTTCTCATAAAACTTAACAGCCTCTTCTCAGCATGGGTGTCATTCCATTTGTATGCGTTATTTTGATTAGCACAACACAATCACAGTTCAGCTGACATCATGCAGAGGTGTCCGATACCAGCGCTCCACAATACTTCTCATATGGTTCAGGAGTTCATACAGCTCCATAGCTGCATCTGTAGTTTATGCAGTTGTGTATGTTCCCAGCATACAGGGGAGACAATACATCTGGAAAAACTGAGGGAAAGCCAACTTTTCAGTATACACTAAATGCCTTTCAACTCTAGGCATTAATCTCACTGGATATACATCCAGAAAAAAAAGCTGTAATAAAATGTTCCTTCTGGGAATTTTACAAAGAAAGTGATTTTTCCTCAGAGCACTACATACATACCACAGATGTGGGTATGTACCACTTACTAAGAAACAGTCAGTTTGCACAGCAAGCTTTGTAGACTGGGTGACTGTCTGAGAAGTGCTTCAGATTATGGTTTCTTATGCAGTACAGATGACAGGAGAAAAATATGCTTACAACTTCTTATTTCAATACATTCGTTAAGTGTCTTCTTCGGGAACTGGGATTCTCACTGAACCTGTTCTCAGGTATCTTAATCGCAAGATGTCAGGAGAGACAACATCTTCCCCTAGAGCTCTGAAATAAAGAAGACAGCACTTTTAACCCTACATACAAGTCATAATTTAGTCAACTGCAAATGCAGACAACAGAGTAAAATCAAGGGCTCTTATTCTTTATTTCTGCTTATACTACTAAATCAAATTAATCTAAAAAGCTGTTTTAAAGAAGTTTGTTGTTACAAGGTACTATTAGCAACATATTAAAAAAAACCAACAAAAACCAATAAACAGATATGACAGAAGCCTTAAAAACCCCAGGAGCAGTAAGTCTTGCATTTTTTTCCAGAGGAGAACTGAATATACCCCTTTATCTCGGCAACATTCTTCCTAACAAGGCTCCATCACCTAATTCTCTCTTCACCCAATTTTTACACTACTGGCCAAGGGTTTTTGGGGTTTTTTTAAGTTTATTCTGCATGCGAGAGCTGCCGACAGGCTCTCTGCACACTTCTTTGTTCACGACTCGTAGGAAGCAGGGCGCCGGGCAGCCTCCAGGGTCACAGTTTTAACACCCCCCACCGCTGCCACCTCACACCTCGGCGCTGCGCTTGTCACCACTCCACTC